TTCTGATGAAATAGTTTCGTTGTTTCGTGCTAGGGGGGGGTCCAAAATTCTCAATTTCTTGTACCGAGATTGCAAACCCTGTAGGGATTAAGCCACATTATGGACGTACTTAGAACAAATTAATCACTGATGGGAATGATAGTAGTATGATACCGAGTGGGTTCGCATTCTTTCCTTGTCTGTCTCTCTGCCTGTGGTTCATCCGTTCCCTACTTTTCGTTAGACGGAACAAACCAACCAGCGATCGATCGATCGATCGAGCTCGAAATGCGGTGGTGGATATATGTTGCCAGCAGATGCGACGTCCAATTTCAACGACAAGCGTTTTCGCGAGCTCGGCGGTGACGGCTTCAGCTCACCAACCCAACCCAGCAAAACCGCGAAACCAAATTAACCTGCAACCCCAAGAGAGAAAAACACACGTCGCTCAAACTGAATAAGACCGTTATTTTTGTTGACACATCGGTCGATCGTTCGGTTCGTTGGTGCCCATCGGATTATTATGCCTGTCAATGTGTTATGCATATGCCATATCGTTTAAACACATTATGCAATTCTGTAGTATCATTTATTGAAAATTGTTATGCGTACGATAAAATTGATACGATTTTATTACAATCCTATCTTGCGTGCGTACAATTGGACCACGAAAATACGTTGATTGTAAAAGATTTTATCGTGTGCATAGCAGTGCTCGTTATTTATTTGCCAGTAGCTTTGAATTTTTTTGTTCTATACTTTGCGCTTAAACATAGCTTTAAGAGAAAATGACCATGTTACCCTTGTGGCTTAGCGGCGGTCATTTGCACTAATATACAATCATTAAGGATGCTGATTAGCCACGAATGGATTAAGAAACGCTTAATAATGGAACTACTAGTACATTTTCACGGCCCGCCCCAGTCGAGTGACAGTCACGAGGCACGCGACACGTAAATAAATACGGAGCTCTTAATTACGCTTCGTCCTCCTCCCCTCCCCTCCCCCCTCTCTCTCTCTCCTCGCGGCTGCAAATCGAGAGGAAGAGGAAGACGAGAGGAGAGGAGAGCGCGTGGCGTCGAGAGGAAAAGCCGGAGCCATTGAGCCGCAGGCCTCCTCCTCGCGCGCGAGCGCGGCCGGCATCTCCGGCTCGGATCGAGCTTGAAGGTACGCGTTGTTCCATCCGTGGTCCCTCCCTTTCCCGCGCCATTTCTTGATGGGACACGCTGTAGATTGGAGATCCATCCGGGGATTGGTTTCTTTCCCTCCAATTTGACCCGCCATGTTTCTTCGGGATTTCTTTCTTTCGATGCGTTTGTGCTTCGCTGATAGTAGTAGCGGTTTGTTTCCAGGAGAAATTGGGGGGCTTGAGCTGAAAGATCTTGGTACAATTCTCCCGCAAAATGCCTGGAATTATCGTGGATGGAGTTGTCACAGAGGAGGCACAAAACGAGGTGAACTCCTCGCAGAACAAGGACAATTCGTCCGCCCCAAGATCGCCGGTGGCTTCGAAAAGCATGCACAGCGAGGCGCTGGAGATGCATGTGGAGGGTTCCGGCGCCGGGGAGCCATCGATTGAGCAGCTCTACAACAATGTGTGCGAGATGGAGAGCTCAAGCGAGGGTGGATCCCCCTCGCGGGAGAGCTTCGGCTCCGACGGGGAGGAATCGAGGATCGACTCGGAGCTTCGCCACCTTGTTGCTGGGGAGATGGAGGCCATGAAGGTAATTGAGGAGGAGGAAGGGGAAGGGAGTGGTAATGCCGCTAATGCGGTAACCGCAGCTGAGAATGGGACTCCCGTCAAGGCGATGTCTTCGAATTCATCGAAGAAGTCGTCGAAAAAGGCTGCGAAATCACAGCTTGAATCTGAGTCTTCTGTTGGTCCTAATGGCAAGGCATCCACCGAGGAAGGTGAGGCCGAGGTCAGCAAACCCGGAAGCCGAGTTGGCCGTCGACGGAAAGCTAGTCCTAATCCACACAATGGGACTGAAGATGCTGGGCTTAATAATCCAGACCTTGGTCCATTTCTTCTTAAGCATGCGAGAGATTTGATTGCCTCCGATAATCCTCGTCGGGCACTGAAATATGCTCTTCGTGCCACCAAGTCATTCGAGAAATGTGCTGGTGGAAAACCGAGCTTGAACTTGGTAATGAGTTTGCATGTTGTGGCAGCAATCTACTGCAACTTGGGAAAGTATGACGAGGCTGTACCTGTACTACAGCGCTCCCTTGAGATCCCTGTAATTGAAGAAGGTCAGGAGCATGCTCTTGCGAAGTTCTCTGGGTGCATGCAATTGGGGGACACCTATGGGATGCTAGGCCAGACTGCGCTATCACTGCAATGGTATGCCGCAGGGCTTGAAATTCAGAAGCAGACATTGGGGGAGCAGGATCCAAGAGTTGGAGAGACTTGTCGGTACTTGGCTGAAGCTCATGTGCAGGCATTACAACTTGATGAAGCACAAAGATTGTGCCAGAAGGCTCTTGATATCCACAGGGAGAATGGTGAGCCAGCCTCATTAGAAGAAACAGCTGATAGGAGGCTGATGGGTCTTATCTGTGACACAAAGGGTGATCATGAAGCTGCCTTAGAGCATCTGGTGATGGCTAGCATGGCCATGGTGGCCAATGGCCAGGAAACTGAGGTAGCATCAGTAGATTGCAGCATTGGTGACATTTATCTCTCCTTGGGCCGGTATGATGAGGCCGTGTTTTCTTATCAGAAAGCTCTTACTGTATTCAAGACTAGCAAAGGGGAGAATCATGCAACGGTGGCCTCTGTTTTTGTGCGGCTTGCGGATCTATACAACAAGACAGGGAAGCTGAGGGAGTCAAAATCATACTGTGAAAATGCCCTTAAAATTTATCAGAAACCTATTCCAGGAACTTCATTGGAAGAAATTGCTACCGGTTTAACTGATGTTTCAGCCATTTATGAAACCATGAATGAGCATGAGCAAGCACTCAAGTTACTCCAGAAGGCCTTAAAAATGTACAACAATTCTGCCGGTCAACAGAGCACAATTGCTGGAATTGAGGCTCAGATGGGCGTCTTGCACTATATTTTGGGGAACTATGGAGAAGCTTATGACTCATTCAAGAGTGCGATTGCAAAGCTCCGCACTTGTGGTGAGAAAAAGACGGCCTTCTTTGGTGTTGCCCTGAACCAGATGGGGTTGGCATGTGTTCAAAGATACTCGATAAATGAAGCTGCAGAACTGTTTGAGGAAGCTAGAGCTGTTCTGGAGCAAGAATATGGACCTTATCATCCAGATACTTTAGGAGTGTACAGCAATCTTGCTGGAACTTATGATGCCATGGGAAGGTAAGCTCCGTATTGATTCTTGATCAGTTTTTTATTTTTTACGGTTAATAGACTCTTACATCGGTAGCAAAGCTGTGAATATGGACATCTTCCTCATCTCGCAGTATATCTTGGACTTCGGCAAATTAACTGCTAGCTTTTCATCTGACTTTTGTTCTGTTAGACATCTAATTATCACCAGCCATCTAGATAATATTTTTTTTCCAATTAAAATTTACAAAAGCAAAGGGTCCCTGGTACAGTTTATCTTAATATCCTCGATGATTTATCACAATGTGAACATGGAAATCAATATGGTTTGTTCTCAACTATGGCACTGATAACTGCTCCATGTGACCATTCACACAGTATATTGGTGCTCTTTATGCCCTGGAGACAGTAGCGGTGTGTAGACTCTTATGAGTGCCAATTCTTTTATGTTTGTCGTTCGCAATTTGCATCTTCCAGCTTGGACATGATTGGTCTCTTTGTGCAGCCTTTTGCAGCTTCAATTGAATTGAGCTGATATTGGTTGTTATAAAGTGGGATCAATTTAATTGAAGTAGGACCATATTAAGACAATCTTTAATTGCATGTAGCCAGCTGCTCTGTAAAAGAAGAGTTGCAAATACTTTATCCTCTTGCTTTATCCTGCCCATTTGCTTTCAATTGTCCGTGTGGAAACTTCATGCTACTTTGTATGTCATGTGGATTGTCAGCTTTATAATATTCTTTATAATTATGATGCAAGTTTTGACCTACCAATACAGCTGGCTTCTTGATAAGAACTAACACCCTAGTTTAATTGGCTAGATCAGAATTCTGAAGAGGCATAGCAATCTTTCTGAGATACTTCTTAAAAACTACTAATGAGTATCTAAAGGGAAAAAAAATGTATTTCACATCAGCTTGTTTGCTCAATGCGAAAAGGTTTTTGATTTGTTTCTTAGAATAACATGTTGGTGTACCTGCTTTCCTATGTTATCCAGGCTGGATGAGGCCATTGAGATCTTGGAACATGTAGTTGGGATGCGCGAAGAGAAGCTGGGCACAGCTAACCCAGACGTCGATGACGAAAAGCGGAGGCTTGCAGAGCTACTCAAGGAGGCTGGTCGGGGGAGAAGCAGGAAGGCAAAATCCCTGGAGAATCTGCTCGAGACCAACCCATATACTGTCACGAAGAGAGGTACAGTTGCAGCATGAGGCACACACTGCTTTGCGAGGAGAAGCTTGATGCAAGCATGACGCTAAGGTGTATCAAATTGGGCTGTTTTTCTTTTTTCAGATTTGGTGAGAGGGGTAATTGAAAATAGGATTTGTTTTGAGAATCTAGAAATGTCAAATGTTCTGATTAATTGTTGTAAAGTTGCAAAGTATGATTCGCTACCACTTGTTCCCTGCTCATGGCTCTTCACCGTGCTTGGGAAGTAAAGCGCTGCTTCCATGCTATACGCAGCTGAGCTTTTATAACTTTATATTGTAGACAGTGTGAGACTGAACAGCTTGGTTGGTTGATATTGCAGCAGATATCATGCATAATAAATTGTACAGGCATATTACGGTTCAATTTTGATTGTAAGATTTCTGTTTGCAAAAGCTACCAGCTACGAAAGTGTGAGCCATCAATTGGATGATTTGATATGTGAAGCTGAAGTTGGATAAGAGGCTTAGACGCATATGAGTTGGAAAAAACAGTAGCAGTAGTACCCAAAAGATCTGTGCAAAAAGTTATACCGCTGGAACATCATGAGCAGAAAAAAACTTAGTAAATACGAACTGCTGCTTGATTTCAGCGAAAATAAGTTTGAGGAGATTCGCTGAGCTACCAGCATGATATGTTTCTACCGAAAATACAAGCTTCTGAAACATTAACAATGCAGCCTACCCATCGTAATCATTAGTTATCACTTAGTGCTAATACTTGATACGAGAAACTTGAAGCCGCTTTTGCTCCCGAAAGAGAATTGTCTAGTGACCATACTTCTGGAACTCCCACTCGCTGTTGTCTGCATAGATAAAATAGAAAAGTAAGGCACGGTGAACGAGCAGAGGTAACAACCACACCAATTAAGTGGCATTTTCCAGGGCAACCAACCTAGAGGGCACACTTGACGGGTCTTGAGCCAACGGCTGATGCAGTGGAAGTGGAATGCATGGTTGCAAACTCCTGACACAACAAAGATAGATTGTTCATCAGTACATGGATAGTTGACTTCACAGCTCGATTTAATTCACTGCGAAAATGCAATATCCACTAAAAGCAACACAAAAAGACGAGAAGAATCCAGTTACACGGAAAGAAAACAAAGTTCCATAATACTCCCCCAGGAGAGAAACTTCAGTATTATAAATATATTGAACATAGCATTTGACTGTGCAAGTCAGTATTGTTTAATTCAAAACAATACTTGAACATATAATCCAGAGGGCACACAGAAGGTGCAAGTGTACATATCCCTAAACAACAACATGCTGTAAACATAAGATCAGTCAAAGTAGATTAAACTGTGGGCAGAAGAAGAACATATTAACATGCCGGGTAGCCAAGGAAGATCCACACACAAGAATCTCATACAAATATATAAAGCAATTGTAGCTAAAAGCCTTTGATGAAAATATACACCACTAACTTCAACTAGTTCCAGATGCAAGAATTCACTTCCATCAATTGACACAGCTAACATGAACACTCACCCACCCTCCCCAACCCACATTCCAGTGATTCTCTTTGACAAATCATAGGAACTAGGAAACCCAGACATGAACTGTATTATCATATTTGAGTTTCATGTGTGCATAGTTCAAGGTATAATTATAATTGAACAGTAGATGGTTAATCCAGAAGAAGGTACTCCTAGCCAGTAGCCATTCAATTATCCTATCATAACTACATACTTCTTTATGAAAGATAAATTCAACATATTCTACAAGGGCCATGTCACGTCCAAAGCTAACTGCGACATATTATATAATTATAGACTTAGATAAAAAACCAAGAGACAAACCAATATAGCAAACCATGCATAATTATAGTACAAATTTCCAACTATGAATATAACCAGTACATATAAAAGAATAGAAAAGATAATCACATTGCACTCATTTGATACATGTCCAGTCAAAACTACTCCAGATCACAAGAACTTGCAATTATCAGAATCACTAATAATAACATGGTATTGCAAATCACATGATCAGCAACAAATGATATTATACACGATATTAAAAATCATGCTCTGGTACCAATAAATGACATAGAGGCGGCAGATAATGCAGGATCCATTAAACTACAACTCAATTCACCAATACTCCAGAGCATGAAAACTAGAAGCATTCCTCAATTCCAGAACGAAGGATTCAAAATAGCGTATAGCAAAACAGATGTTAGGATTTTATGAAATTCGAGAGAAAAACATTCCTAGCAGCATATAACCAGTCTTGGGAAAGCACGATCCCCAGATTCTGATAAATCATTATCAAATGAGCAAACCAATGACAAACAACACAAGGCGACGTGTACTGAGAGCACAGTAACAGGTTGACACATGGATTAATTTGACTCAATCGAACTATGAAATCAAAGTCAAAACTAAATTCAGAATAAACAGGGCAAGACCGGCTTCAGCTAACTGAAACCATGCAATTCATGGCTGAATCAGCACTTACATCTACTGCTGCATCGGCACAGAATTAGAATTAACGGGAGATTAAGAAGAAGCAATGTTACCCCAAGCGACGGTGCACTCCTCGCTGGTGGCGCTCGCCTGGTTCGCCTGGCACTCGATGCCTACACAACACACGCACGCGCACCCGCGTCATCACAAGCCATACCAACAAGCTAAGAAGAAACCCTAGAATCTAAAGGAACAGCAGATCGGAGCGGGGGCGAGCGGAAGGCCAGCGGCGCGCGTGCTCACAGAGGTCCATGATGTGGTTGCGGCAGATGGCGCAGTTGTCCACGACGATGTCTGCACGAGAAGAAGAAGAAGAAGAAAACCGCGACGGAATCGCATCAGATCGCACACGAGAAAGCCAACAAGCGAGACGCGGGCGCCATCGGCGGACGCGGACGCGGACGCTTACCCCAGGCCCAGAGGGAGACAGCGTTCCACTTCTTGATCTCGAAGCGCTTGCCCTTCTTGGCCCCGGAGGAGGAGGCGCCGGCGATGGAGGGGGGCACGGCCACGGCGACGTCGCCCTTGTCCATGGCGAACCCTAGGGTGGGAGGGGAGCGCGAGGAGGAGGAGTAGATTGGGACGAGACGAGAAGCGACCGCGAGGAGAGAGACGAGAGGTAAAATAGAAAAGAGGAGGCGGCGGCGCAGAGTCTAATAAAGGCCTCAGTCCAAGCCCTTGTAGGTACAGTATTAACGGGCCATCAAAAGCCCAAAGTATTAACGGGCCATGCTTGGGTTCTTGCTGAAGATACAGTTTTTCTCTTAATTCTTTTTGGTGCATGTGTCATGTGTGAGAGAGTAAATTTATTTTAAATATCACACCAAGGCCTATTTGGGGAGGATTATTTGAATCACCTAGTGAGTACTCCCTTCGTTTCAGGTTATAAGACGTTTTGATTTAGTCAAAGTTAAACTGCTTTAAGTTGACCAAGTTTGTAGAAAAAAGTAGTAACATTTTCAACACAAGACAAATTTATTATCAAAATATATTTAATTATTGTTTTGCTCAAACTAATTTAGTGTTATAAATATTACTATATTTATCTATAAGCTTAGTCAAACTTAAACAATTTGTCTTTAACCAAAGTCAAAACGTCTTATAACGTGAAACGGAGGGAGTAGTAGCTAGTTGATGAGAATATGGAAAATTTGTGTTTCTTATATTCTAACTTCTATTCACTCAGTTTCAAATTACTTATCTCGTTCTAGATTTTTCATAAGTCAACCATTTGAATATTTGACCATCAATTTCTACAAACTCATTTAGCTTAGCATTATTAGATTTATATTATATTTTCAGATTGACCATGAGAAATACTTTTATGAATTATAATTCACGTGTTGTTGAACTACACGGATTTTTATAAACTAATGGTCAAAGATATGCATATTTGACTTAGGACAAACCTAAAACACGTAATTTAAAACAGGGGAGTAATTTATTTTTTGAGTGATATTTTGATCATACTTTGTTAAAAATATTACAAAAATATAATTATATTGTTACCCGTGGTAGTTCACAATTGCCAAATATCCTGAGGCAGACGAGAACGATAATAATCGCTGATTCACGTGTGACCATGTGAGGTTGGACCAACGGCGTGACGTCAAAGTTCAGACGATAGCATGACGAGGTGCAAAATCAAGATCCAACTGTACGCTGACAGCAGAGCTGACTTGCTAAATATCACTAGGCATTCCCACACACAGGTGACAAAGAAGACAACAGCAATTCCAGTAAAATGACTATGCTCTTTTCCCACGACTTGTTCGACATTATATCGGGATTACTAGCGTCTCCAAAATTTATTGATACTGGGGGCTTTCCAGTATCCATTACAGACGATATTGTATAACTCTACGCTCTTTAGTACACAGTTTTTAAGCTTCCAAGTAACTTGGCCCGAGTATCAAGACTGCTCTGTTGCTTGTGCTGGTATATGAGTTTATCTATCTTGAAATTGTAAAATCTATCAGATATGGTCCCCATGAGACCAATGATCTGAGTGAGGACCGTCTATAGCTCGCAGGAGAACATCGGTTTGGTGTCTGGACTGAGTACTGAAGAATGAAGATCCGTTTTGAGACTTCTTGGCTTTCTCTGGTTCTTGGTTGAACTTGGTGGTGAGCTTTTTAAAGCAGCATGTCGCTGCCTGATTCGCTTCGGTTAGCTCCGGTTGAGGCTCTTGAACACCAAATAGCCGAAACCGCCAATTGTCAGGGCAATGAGTGGGCAGATGGACATGTCCATTTCCAGGATCCCGTTTCTGCGGACTGCATTTCCTTGGCGGGTCAAGGCCAAATGCTCATGAAGCAAGCTGGTCAGATTGTCAAGCTGATGTATCACTTGGCGCTGACCTCTTGATATGGCATTAATCTGCGAAGGAAACAGAAAGTCCACCAAAATAAATGTCAAGATTCATACAGAAAGATGAGTCATATCTAGAAAAATAGGTAGTAGTCAGCAATCATGTATGAAGTGTTCTTTGTTTTGAAATATGATTTTAACAGGAAAAAAACAAATTCATCAGAACACAGAGTTTTTTTTTTGGAATATGATTTTGACATAAGTAACATAAATTAAATACATCGGGAATATAAAATCTTCGAGACATTATACAGTACAATATCTTAAAAAACATGCCACTGAAAAAAAAGCTTTCACAGCCTTTCTGTCAGCAAATAAAAATGGTTCAAATCACATCACAACATTTTTGTGAAGCCAAAAAATTTGGAGCATAGAAGTATGTATAGTTAGCAATCTAGGCCCGATGCAACATGCCAAGATCAACTGTTACAACTCCACTGTTTTTTATGGATACATTATTTCACTGCATAAACTACAGAAGCTGATTTTCTTCCTATATGATTGGAAGATAAACTTAAGTTCCATACACTTCCCTGTTTATCTATTTTCATGTGAGTCTAACTGACTACTACCATGATTCTATTCTCTATCTATTGTTTCTCCTCTCAAACAATAGTACCAGTAGCTGATGGCCCACTAAATTTTCACTTCAGTCTAAATTCACTTATTTGAATACTGACTAAATTAATACAGTGACTTGTACAAAGTTTCCAATTCTACATCTAAATTTCAAACAAAATCTGAAAAGTGTCTCGAAAATAATAGCAAAAAAATGGACCCATCATAACCAATCTATTGGTGAGATTTCAAGTTTGATGACCGAATCTGGTTCTGGCATCAGAAATTCTTTTGAAAAAAAATACTGTTGGCCTTTCTGCAGATGACCAAGCCATAGTTTTAGTCAATGATTAAGGTGAAATGGTTTGGGAGAATGCAACTAAACACATGGCTGTAACACAGACTAGCGAAGATTATATTATCAGATGATGCAATTTTACCTTAAGTATGACTTAATTTCAACAAACCCACAAATCCAAGTGGAAAAGTGGGGGGACAACACCTCATGTATAAGATTATAATAACAGTAAGGCAAATACCTCATCCACAATGGGGGACTCCTTCAAAAGTTGGTTCGATGATGACGAATGAGGTATCAGGGTACCATTGCCCAAATGAGAAACAAAGAGATTTGTAGGTGCAGAACCATTGCAAGTTTCATTTGGAAGAGCTAAATTTTGCTGACTGGTCGATGATTTCTTTATTGCAAATTTACAGTTGAGTTCTTCAACTCGAGAGGTGAACTCGTCCATCCTCTCATTCAACGTTGAAATCTGTTCGGATAGCTGAGTGATAGCACCCTACAAGCAGCAGCAAACAAGGAGGAATTTTGAGTCAGTGTTATCTATGTCAAGTTTTTCACAAGAAAAAAATGTTTTAATTAGTATGGTAGCTATAACTAATACAAGTATTCTAGAATGACCACCTGATTAATTGCAGGAGGTTCAGGGGCTCGCCCACTTCCAAACCTTCTGTTGGTTTCTGTCAATTTACTCAATTTCACAATATTTTTATCTCCATGAGTTGAATATGAATGAGATAGACCACTGCACAGAATCCACAAGGTAACATCAGCGAGCTTGATTCAGTTTCCATGGTTTCAACAAAGTATAGCATTTCACAAAAAATAAATTTTGAGCAGAGATGACATGAAGAAACCTTTTCAGGTGTTTGTTTCTCTTATCAGCAGAAACCCGAGAAAGGGCCTCTTTTGGACTTGAAACCAGCTCATCATCAATGCTGAGCTTTGTCTTGAGATCTTCTGGTAATGCCTGCATGTAAACTTATTTGAAACCACCCCAAAACTAAGAAATACAACTAGTGCTCTAGTAATAAGGTGAGAAGTGTGTATATATATAATTATCAAATACATACCATAACATCGTTTATCAGTTTCTCCAGCTGAATTTGTTCAATATATGTGCGTGGAATATAAGAGCCATCCAGACCTAACTTCTCCGCTACAAATTTGACATGATTTCTATCTCTTCCTTGCACCTAAGAAAAAGCAACATAATATTTTATGCATCTTGTTAACAAGTGGATAGATACAAATAATAATAACTAGAGTATCAGTCAAGATGTGCACAGAGAAAGATCATGTTGAAAGAGAACTGCAATCAAATAGCAAGAGTGTTCTTACCTGTATATAATTTCGGTTAAGTTGCTCCAACCAATCAATTTTAACAGTTGCCTTGCCATCAGAAAACACACGACTCTTTCTCTTCAGTATAGCTGCTATAGTATATCCCAATGCCATCAAACCTCCAAGAAGACGAACACTGACTTCAAACGTAATCCTTGGTGATATGATAAAAGGATTATCGGTCACCCACTCCTTCAAATTATCAATAACACAAGTTAGTGAACACAAATTTCAAAATTATTGCAAATACGATATGATAATAAGGTATAGCAAAGGAGTATATATCTAAGCTAAGTAGCTAACTGCTGTGGTAGAGAACACCATAAGTCAGCAGACAAAATTGCCAAAAACACGGCAGTTACAAAGCTGCTAGTGAATGCAAATACAATTAAGACTCAGCTGATCTTTCCCTTACTATGCTCGTTATGCAATTAATTTTTTTTGTTTTATGAGCTACAGGTGCAACTGTTGTGAAAATATTCTAGTAGGAATAAGATGCATATTTCTGGAACCTATGAGCATGGCACTAGGGAACAACTAACAAAGTGGATATAAAATAATGGGCCAGAGAGGTAATTCTTGTAACAAAACAACCAACTATATCCATCACACATATGCACTTATGTAGCCATTGCAATAAATTGCATACCTCAAACATCAGATTATATTTCCCTTCCCTATTCCTCATTCTCAAATAAGATTGGCATGATTCTGGATCTTCGCCTGGAGGAAGCAAATATATATCATAAGTTTCTTCAATGCTTTCTGTATGATCTTCACCAAGAGCAACTTTGATGTCAGTAGGTGTTATAGTTCGTGGAGACTGCAAGAGTACATTTCCAAAAGTTAGGCCATCTAGATAAACCACAAGACAAGTATTTATTAGTATTAAAATTATGCTATTGGTGAAGAGATCAATGATCAGCCATCTTGCCAAAACATGGACACTAAAAGGAACATAAATAAGGAGTGCTTACCTTTAGAATGTACATAGGATTTTGGAACCCTGAGAATGGGTTGAACTTGTTGATTATTTTTATATGTGCTGTCTGCAAG